ATTGTGGTCGTGTTGGGCAAAGTTTTAAAGTGAAATATTGGGTTTAAGTAAGTAAAAATTTTGTATGCTATTTAACCTTCATATATGCTTTTGCATATATAAAGTAAAAATGTTTTTAAAAATGCTCTGAAGTTTCTCGTGCCAGCATTCCATTCAGCCATCTGTGTAGCTGTTGCTGTCTTTTACTTTGTGTGTGGCCACTGTTTTTTTTTTTTTTTAGGTTGCTAATGTTCCTTATTCATAAATACAAATTTATATATTATTCCTTAGAGATAAATTTTTAATAACATACTTAGTACTTCCAAAATTGAATATTTTGGCATCATTTGAAACAATAGTACACATTTTTAAGAGGAGAAACTCAAAACCGAAAATTTTATGATTGTTTTCTCATTGATAGGGTGAATTATTTATTTTAAAAAGCTCTTTTTATTTTGTGCTTGTTTTCAGGCTAGTCTGTCCATATGGGGATGGGGAAGCCTCGGCATTGTCCTTTGCCTGATAACCTTCGGACCCTTTGTAATATTTTATTTGGCATTTTATATCCTCTGCTTTGTGGGTGGGTAAGTATTCTTAATGATAACTTCATAATTCATATGTCATGGTGTTCAAAACAGAACAAATGGTATGAGACTGGGAGTATGATTTATTTGTGACTGTTGTATTAAAACTGCTTTTAGCAAAGTTAAAACTAAGATTTAAGATACCAGTTTGTGCAGAAATATAGTTTCATCCAAAAATAAAATTCCAGTTTCTGAAGAAAAAAACATTTAATGAGACTCATGAGGAAGGTTTAAAAACTTTAATTGTCTTTGAATGATGAATTTTTAAAATTAAATTAGTAGGGAAAGTTAAATTGGAATAACATACCAAGTTTTGCATTGTGGAAGATACTGTTTCATTGATTAGAATTCAGCTGTTAATAATTTCTCTTAATATTGTTGCCCTAGAAAATTCAAGTAAATATTCAATTTTGCAGGTTTGTTTTCATGGTTACTTGGTGTATGTTGCTGATGTTTTTCTTTGATAAATCTTTACAAAGGAAGTGTCAGTCATAATTTTTATAGCTTTATTTTCAGAAGATTTGATATCAGACGTAAATGGTAAGAGAATGTATAAACAGTGCAATTTTATTTAAACATTAACCAAAGTAAGTTAGCTGAAATGAATTTTTTTTTGTCATTAATGGATGTGTATGCATGTTTATATAATTAGCTGTAGGATACACACCTGTGAGTTTATTTTTAATCATTTAGATCACAAGCATTTAGAGGATGTGTTATGAGCCTATGCAAGTAGAGGGCTTAGCTGGGTCGGACGGCACGTGAAACAGTGACCTGAATGACTGTGACCGTGCAAGGGTGGCTTCTGAATCACTGTTCCACCTGTCACCCTCAGTCACGAGCCAGGTGATTGGTCGTCTTCTGTGGAGCATGCCCACTGACTGTAGAGCAACCGACTTAAATTAAGCAACTATGTCAAGTGTGTTAAAGTTGTATTTTATGTTATAGTTACCGAATAGAAAGGAGATTTAACTGAACAGGCAAGGTTTCTTCCAGTGAAGGAAAAGGATTTCAGCATATTTATAGTACTTTGAATCAAAGGTAGGAGGGCTTGGAAAGAGAAGGCTAGAGTGCAATTTCTCCTGTAATTGGAACTACTTCATATAAAGCTCGTGATAGAGAACGGTGAGCAAGCGCCTTCTTCAGTGTCTTGGGAGAATTTATTGCTCCTGATTGGAATTTGGTAACTTAGTGGGTAGTAATTTCACAGATCTGGACAATGTTTTGTAAAAAATTTTTTAGGTAAGGTTGAATATTGAAGAGTGTGTTATGAGTTCTAAAAGACTCTTGGGAAGATATTGACAGTTACATGGTGAGTCTGAAATCCAGGTTCATGCTGTTTCGTAAGTTGGCCCAGCATTCTGTTCTAGACAGCACCACTCCTGTGAAAGTCACTCCATGAGTGTGTGAGCTGATGTCCCAGAATGATGTCAGTTAATTATGCTTCCTCAGGTTAATGCAGTTATGGTCAGTGAGTAGCATAATTTCTTTATTCATAACTTTCTTATTTTGTCTCTGATTTGAAGAGTTAGTGTCCCTTTTTAATGTAATTTAGTGTGGATTAATGCTTTAAGAACAAAAATAGCGGACTGGCATCCCATATGGATGCTGGTTTGATTCCAAGGCCCTCCACTTTGGAGACAGCTCCCTGGTAATGTCCTGGCAAAGCAGCAGAAGATGGGCCAAGTATTTAGGTATCTGCACTCGGGGTAAAGCTCCTGGCTCCTGGGTGTTGGCTCTGGCCTAGCTGAACCCTGGCTGTTGAGGGCATTTGAGGAGTGAGCCAGCAGGTTGAAGATTTCTCCCTGCCTTTTGCCCTCTGTAACTACCTTTCAAAATAAAAAACCAGGGCCCGGCGCGGTGGCGCAAGTGGTTAAGGTCCTCACCTTGCACGCCCGGGATCCCATATGGGTGCCGGTTCTAATCCCAGCAGCCCCGCTTCCCTTCCAGCTCCCTGCCTGTGGCCCGGAAAGGAAGTTGAGGACGGCCCAAAGCTTTGGGACCCTGCACCCGCGTTGGAGACCCGTAAGAGGCTCCTGGCTTCAGATCGGCATAGCATCGGCCCGTTGCGCTCACTTGGGGAGTGAATCATCGGACGGAAGATCTTCCTCTCTGTCTCTCCTCTCTGTATATCCGCCTTTCCAATAAAAAAATAATAAAAATAAATCTTTAAAAAAAATAAAAAACCAAAAATGAAGTCTTTACTATCAAGTAAAATGATTCTGTTTCATATAATTAGAAGTCATTTCTTAGTTTTAGGTTTGTTTTCTTTTTATTAAGTTCTTTAAAAATTTTTTTTGTTTCAGACAGGCAGAGAAATAGAACATTTGTTTTTGTTGGTGCACTCCCCAGATGCACACAACAGCCGGGAATAGAGCAGGTGAAGCTGGGTGCTGGGAATTCAGTTCTGGTCTACCATGTGAGCGGCAGGAGCTGTTATCTCTGCCTGTGAGGGTCTGAATTAACTATTTGCTTTTGGATCCTCTGTTTTTAAAAATAATTAAATTAAATACGTATATGTTACTTTTGTTCTCTGTGTTGTATAGATGAGAGAACACTGGAGGGCTGACTGTTACCCAGTATTCCCCAGTGTCTGAGAGGAATATCTTAGTCTGATTTCTTAGCTCTCTCGTTAACTGTGTTCATAGATGCATAGAGACATTTCATTAACAGTTTTCCGAAATTACGTGTGTTAAGATCTGCAGTTTCCCCATCTGGAAAGATTGATAGTAATTTTTTTTTTGTTTATGATCAAAGCTAATTCCTTTCTAATATAAAAAAACATTTTTGGGAATAAATGTGAGGGATTTTTAAATTTTTATTTTTTGTAGGTACAGTAGTGATTGTGGAATATTATATTATGGTTATTCCATGACTTTCTGCTGTCTATTTGTCAGTATAAGTAACCATTTGTTGCATTTATTTTTACGTAGAACTCATGGCTGGATCTATCAGTCACGCTGCTTCTAATTGCATACTGTTGCTGTCCTGCTTTTCTTACTGTTGTGCTGTAGGCAAAGGTTAATCTTTTATCAGTCTGTTTAATAAAAATGTTTTTAGAAATGCAGTGTCTACTTTATATAAATATTTTGTTGTGTGTGGTTACTAAGGGAGTGAATCTAAAATACAGGGTCAGCTTCAGTCTTCATAGCATCAGTTACCAAGTGGCTTCAGTGAAACGTACCGCAGGAGCTGGCTGGCCTCAGGGGCTGCGCCCTCCCCAGCTGTCTGTGGTACCTGTGCTGAGCGCCACTGAGTGGATGCCCTCACAGAAACTGCTTTGGAGAGTCTTCCTCTCAGTAGTTGAGACTGTCAATTTTTATTTTTACTGTTTTAATCTTGTCGCTAGTCTGAATCATTGTAAGATTGCTCTAAGATCATCATAAGAGAAAAATCTAGTTTAGCGAATTTCAGTGCTTAGGTTTGTTTGTAAATTTTAATACAGACAATATTGATAACTTTTAGTCATTGGTAGTTTTTATCCAGCATTTATCTTATCTTGATCTTGTAGATTTTCCAAGATTTATTGGTTTTACTTTAAAGTCAGAATTTCTGAGAAAGAGGAAGGGAAGGAGAGAGAGAGAGAGAGAGAGAGAGAGAGAGAGAGAGAGGGAGAGAGAGAGAGAGAGAGAATGACTCTTTTTTCCACTGGTCCACCTCCAAAATGGCAGCAGTGGCCAGAGCTGGGCCAGTTTGGTCCTTCCACCAAATGGCTGCCGTGGCCAGAGCTGGACCAGTCTAAAGGCAGGAACCAGGAGGTTTTTCTTGGTCTCCCACATGGGTACAGTGACCTGAAGCCTTGGGCTATTTTCTGCTGCCTTCCCAAACCATCAGCAGTAGGCTGGATTGGAACTGGAACAGTGCTCATAGGGGATGGCACACCACAGGTGGAGGATTAGACCACTAGGCCACCATGCTGCTTCCCCCACCATCATCCTGTAATTTTAAAATCAGTGTTTTGGTAATGCATTTATGTTTCTTTTCTTGGTTCCAGCTGTATTTTATGTATTTAGTTTTAAAAATATTTGTTAGTATGTTTAATTATTCATTGAAAAGAGTGTCATAGACAGAGTATAGAGACAGAGAAAGCTCTTATATCCTCTGTGTCACTCTCCATGTGGCCATAATAGCTGGGAACCAGGAACTCCATCCTGGTCTTGCAGGGAGGGAGCTGGATTGGTAGTAAACAGCTGGAACTTGAACCAGTGTGAACAAACCAAAACTTAAACCTGCTCTGCTGTAACAGCCCCTCCGACTTTAAGCAATACCCTGAATAGCCCTTGATTATTTTATTGATTATATTATATATATTATATTTATTGATCATAGTGGCAAGTTATATTAATTAGTTAACAAAAACCATAGAATTCTGTCATTTAGCTATAGAGTTCGAGTCTCTTATCTATAATTGGTTATTTGCTAGCCTTTTGACTCCGCTTGATTCTGCAGCATGCATACTAAAATTGGAACGATATAGAGAAGATTAGCCTGGCCTCTGTGCAAGAATGAAATGCTAGCCTACTGAATTAATGAGGGTTGATTTTTTTGTTGTTGTTGTTTTTAAAGTTTGAAACTTCATGGGGTTCTTTGTGAAACAGTTTGATGAAATTTTGAAGGGCACTATTGTGCGAATCACAGAATATCTAGTTTTTTTAAGGTCTGAACAAAAAATTGTCAATTTTTGTTTTTGTGCTGCAAAGTCATTGGCTTCTAAGTGAGTGTTGAACCATCTATGAAATTTGAAAAATGTCCTTTAAAATAGGTGTGTTAAATCATGGTTGAATTTTATTTTTGTACCTTTAATTAAATTTCTTTTCTAGGGGTTTAGTGGTTACTCTCCTGTTCGGAAAAACAAACTCAGAGAAGCACCTAGAGCAGTGTGAACATTCATTTCTTCCTCCAACGTCGACTGGGGTTCCTAAGGTAAGCAGCGTGAGAGGATCTGAAGTGTCACATCCAGCCCTCCTCAGTGACAGGAGAGTGGTGTCTGGGTGTGGCTTTGCAGGTTTCACTCTCAGTTGCTGATGATTGGTGTGACTCTGGAGGTTTTCCGATGGCACTGACATGATTGGCTTTAAAAAGTCACCATGATCACTTTCTTACTGTTAGTGTGAAAGAAAAATTGTGATTTTGACATGTAGAAATTGGAATGTTTGAATGTTTTCCCAACTTTTTTAAGATGGAATTTTAAAGTATCATGGGTATGATATGACATATCATGACATATCAGAATAGTTTATTCTGAAGGTAATTGCAGGGAAGCTAGGGGTGGGGCAGTGGGCACTTTTTCTTTGTTTGGAAAATATAGTTTGAAACTGAGTTACACAATTATAGTTTTAATAAGTCAGACTTAATTTTTATTTTCTTGAATGTTGCTGTTTTCTATTCCTCAGTATGAATCTGTAAGTAAATGGGTAGACTTCAGATTTGCCATGGTTTTAGTTTTTGTGCAGTTGGGGCGACTTTATGTTCCTGAAGAGACATAGTCTGCATTTGATGGCAGTAACTTTACAGCTGTTTACTTGCCATTATGTGCCAAGCTGTAAGAGACAGAAGAGGTAAATGATGATAATACTATATTCTGAAAACTTAGATCTGACCTCATGCTACAAGGTGAAACATGCGTACCATCCTGTGTTTTCTGACAGCAGGGATACCTCCTGAGACAATGTTGTTAGTTTCCTCATCATGGGAGTAACATAGATTGAACACCTTTTTTTAAAGAGATATATATCCTTTTTTCTTTATTTTAGATGATGTTTGCATAGTTGATCAAGGTGGGAAGGATCCATGGTTAGGAAAAGCGGGTGTAATCATTGTCTCCAAGCTTTCTGTTTCTTCCCATTTTTGGGAGGAAGGGAGGAGATGGGGGATAGGCCATACTCAGCCTCCCACCATCCCAGTCCCAAAGAATGGGGAAAGACCACCCGATATCAACCCAGGGTCACAGTGTGGCACATGCTCCAAGGGTCCTGCCCAGCTGGATGCGATAGTTCTGAAATGCTGTTGATCTCGCCAATGTATGGAATAGGAATCCCTTCCAGTGTCCATTGGCTGATGCAGTCAACCTTAGAGTCTCCATTCGCCCAGATATTGCTGTCAGCATTTGACTGGGGTAGTTGTCCACATGTTCTGTTCTCCATTCTCTGCTATGGTACCAGATGCCCTGTGCAGACTCCAGTGGGCTACCATGTTGCATGTGCACAAAGGCCTGCTGTCCAGCACTCTGTCCTCTGTGCTGAGGAGGACCTGTTATTTCAGGTGGACTCATGAACCTGAGCCAGGCAACCTGGGCCAAACTGGACCCTCCACCTGGGGGGTTCTTGGAACTAGCGCTCACTGCACAGCTGGGCCCACAGTCCTGGGCCTTGCGACCCTGGGACCTACCAGGGCTCACAGACCCAGCTCCCACCATGCAGGCGGGGTCAGTAACCTGGGGCTGGAGACTCAGGTCCCACTGGGCCCCCTGCCCCTGGGGCTCACGGATTCAGCACCCACTGCACAAGTGGGCCCATGGGCTTGTGCCAGGAGACCCAGCCCTATTAGAGATTGAACAGTCTTACATAGTGTAGCCTGGCACATACCTCATCTGTGTGATATATAGTGTCTTGCTTCTATCTGCAAACCTGCAAAATGTTCCTGTAGTGAATGCCAGAGGCAGTTGGAACATAGAGCTAAATACATCTGTAATCCGAAACTAGAAAAGGTACAGTAAGGGGGTTGTCTAGCTATATGGGACAGTTAGCATGAATGGAATTTGTGGGAATGCAGGTTGTCCTGGGTGAGCTGGGGACTGAGTGGTGAAGGCCATGAGTGCTCCTGTGTGTGACTGCAGGCTTCATAACCACTGCACACTTAGCTTACACTGCAGTCATTTCAAAATAGGATTTTTGTCTCTCATTAAGTATTCTTAGCTCACTGTCACTTATTTGATAAACTTTGAAGCATTTTTGACTTCCTGACACTTCAGGTAGCACTTAGCTTTCAGCACACACACATTGGACAACCAAACCAAAATGTTTTCTTTTTCTGTATCCTTGTTCTGTAAGCTTCTGCTAAATTTTCTTAGCATTTTAAACTTACATTATAGACGTAAAACACAACTCAGTGACAGGCCTGCACAGGGTGAGGACCATCTGTGTCACTGTTTGGCACCGCCGTAATTTGTCCTTCTGGAAAGTCTTCGGGTCTGTGACCTGTCCAGTGCTCGGTGGCACTGCCGCCTTCTGACACATCCAGAAGGAACCTGCCTGAAACTGCTCAGGGAAGTATCATTTCTTTAGAGCCATGTCCCTGTAGTTTGCTAGATTTGTTTTTTATTATGGATTTGCTCATAAGCACATAATAAGCCATGAATATTACTCTATACTAGTTCTATATTCATGAAGATTTCTATATTCACAAAGACATTTTTGACATTAGGATCTGTATTTTCAAACCTTTTAATGAGTTGTTGAGCTTCTGCCAAAGCTTGTTATACCCTTTCTTGTGAATTTCTTGTTCAGTTTCCCATTCTGTCTCTCTCAGCTGTGTGTTCACTAGTGCTAGGAATTACTTAGGCCTGTTTCAGTGTTATGAGCCCGCTGTTATGTAGTCCATGTAATCCAAACATTGTATGGTCCATGATTTTTGTGCCAGAATTTCTATTTTTAATTTAAAGGTGTTGTTACCTTTCACCCTATTCCCAGGCCATTGTTCTTTCTGAAGATCTAGAATAAATAGAGAAATACATGTTTTTTAGTGTCCAGAAATCATCCTTACATAAAACCAAGTGTAAAGTATATTATTTTGGCAACTGGTGTGCTGTGTTTACTGGGAAAGAGGTAGAGGAAAGAAGAGAGTGTGAAATGAAGACAGTAATTAAACTCAATTGAAGTGTTAATTTTATTTAAAAGTTTTATTGAAATATAACAGCCGTATAACTTGCACATTTTTAGTTGACATCATTCTAAATCATGTTTTCTGACTTAAAATTGAGGGAGAATCGAGGTTCTTTTTCTCAGTGTCGGATTTTGTTAAGAAGTAGCGGGTGGTTGGTTCATTTATGTTAGAATAGCAAGAAATAAGGTTTTTCATTGGCTTGAGGATAATAAAGGGGAGTTGTGATGAATATTCAATTTGAAGTGTTTTAGAGAGGCTAGAATTAAGACTGCTCAGTAAAATATTTTGATTTCCTTTAAGTGCTTAGAAGAAATGAAACGGGAAGCCAGAACTATTAAGATTGATAGAAGATTGACGGGTGCCAATATAATTGATGAACCTCTCCAGCAAGTGAGTTTTAGTATGTGGTATTTGCTTCTCATATATTGTGTGCTAGTGTCACTTGTTTTGAAAATATGGAGAAAAACCTTTAAGCTACATTAATAACATATTGGATGTTGATGATGAGGCCATCTTTGAGTTCTGTGCTCAAAGGTGCTGATTTATTCAAGCACTTAACAAATGAAGCAGTTCATTTACTGTGAAAGCCCTTTGAATTTGCATTTGGAAAAAAGTCTATGATGACTTGATAGTGTTTCTAATAATTTGATAGTTAAACTGTCACTGATGATGATAGGTTTATTTGGTGATTGACTTCTTTGTTAATTTACTACTTAAAAAATGAAAATCGCTTGTTTTGCTAAAAAAATAAAACTTAGAATTAGGCAAATGCATTATCCTCAGTGTTTTTCACTGATAGTTATTTGATTATATGATGTTTATAAATTCAGTATACTTTAAAATCTCAAGATTGTCTTCTAGATGAGCACATATTTGGGTTATCTAATTTTCAGTTTATATTTTGAGTTGTAGTCTGTGCTTTTTGATGGCATCAATGATACTAATAGAATTAAGTGAATCATATGATTTTTATAATTTGATAGCAGTAGATTTGATGTCACAGTCTTAAAAACTGTGAATTACGGTCCCCATCAGCATTGTTTTGCATCTCAGTCTGTTGAACTAATTTAGACTCTTTAGCACCAACAGTTACTCTTTTTCTGCAAACCCTATCTTTACTTGAATGTGAATGGGTCATCTCTATTTGTATGTCTGGGACTTTGCCATATGTAGTGTTTTAATATATTTTTTTTAAAGATTGTTTTTGCTTTTGGTCCCAGCGTGATAGCCTAGTGGCTAAATCCTTGCTTTGCATAAGCTGATTCATATATGGGCGCTGGTTTGTGTCATGGCTGCTCCACTTCCCATCCAGCTCCTTGCTTGTGGCCTGGGAAAGCAGTCGAGGACAGCCCGGGCGGGCCTTGGGATCCTGCACCCATGTGGGAGACCTGGAGGAAGCTCCTGGTTCCTGGTCTTGGATAAGCTTGGCTTTGGCTGTTCTGGCCACTTGGGGATTCAGCCAGTAGATGGAAGGTCTTTGTCTCTGTCTCTCCTTCTCTTTGTAAATCTTCCTTTCTAATAAAAATAAATAAGCTTTTAAAAAAAATGTTTCTTTCCTTTTTAAAGTCCATTTTATTCTTATTGGAAAGACAGGTTTATGGAGAGACAGAGACAGAGATAGACGCACAGAGAGAAAGAGGTGGATTTTCTCTGATGTTTTACTCCC